GATATATTCTAACAAAAAAATTAGTATACTCTCTCTATCCTAGAATAATTGATATTTTTTATTTAGAATTTATCTTAGAATAATAGTTTTTTTTTTTTAATTTTGAGGAAAATAAATAGTTTTTTTTCTACTTTAACCATATAATTATCTCTTAACTTTAATTATTTATTTTCTAATGGAAGTAGATATTTATTCTTAGTTATTTTTTAAGTATAAAATAAGTAAAGATAAAAATTATTTTCAAATCTTTCATTTGAAGATAAAACAAAAAAATCTATTATTCTAGTATAAAGAGAGTAATATTTAAATAATGAAACTTATTGATTTTTTATTATCATAAAAAATTGTATAATTTCCTTTTAGGATTTAGAGTTGTTGAAACTACAAATAAAATTGAATATTATGATAATATTGAAGTTTTATTGAAGTTATATAAAATAGAATTGGATCAAAGTAAAGAAATTGAAGAAAAAAAAAAGTACAAATCCATAAAGGGAACATACATGAATTTAATAAAAGGAAAAACCTTGGATATAGTCATATAGAGAAAAACAATAAGAACATAAATTAGTATAAAAGAAGGATAAACTTGTATAAAGTGTAATTAGTTTGTAAAAAGAGAAAAAATATTTGTTTGCTTGTAGAAAATCGTAGGGTAAAGAGATAGGATGTTGTTGTATTTCTAAACTATGTCAATGGGTTGTGGAGACAAAAAAATCAAAGGTCTATAGTCTCATTTATAAGCTAATTACTTTGATACTTACTCTTTCAATTTCTATAGCAATAATAAAAAAAGTATTTTCTATCATGAAAATTATGAAAACGAAACTTCACAGCAAAATTGAAGATGAATTTTTCTTAAACTCTTTGATTGTTTATATTGAAAATGAAATAATTCAATCATTTAGTATAGATAACATTATAAATAGATTTTGTGACTTGAAAATTTGTCAAATATTATTTTAATATATGATATAAAAGTAAGTTTTCAAAACTATAATATATTATTTTAAAACTTAAAAAGTTGACTCCCCCGACTAAAGTTCTTGACTCCACCCTTGATTTTGAATTCAATCATAAGATGCTTGTTCTCATCGTGGCTTATGAATTATGATATATAGATTTTTTTTAATCTTTGAGTTACTGCCAATCAATTTTCAATTTTTCAAGAAAAGGACTAATATGATATTTTAGCACCCGAAAAAAGAAGAAGGAAAATAACAGTAATGGGCCCAAAGCCCAAGCGGAACATCAGAGCATCTCTTGGTGTTCAGGTGAATTCAGCGAGTGGTCATTAACGTTGGCGCGATGTTACACTCTCTGGGCGCGAAACAACACCGTTGCTTTACTTGGGGAAGTGGGTTTGCTTCAATCCTCCCAATTAGACCCGGATTTCTTCTTCAGTTCGTCTTCCAAAGGGAGCCGAATTTCATACTCTTATATATAT